ATCGCGTCCCCAAGGCCGCCGCCACGCCCGCGGCCGCCCAGGCCGCCGCCGCGCCCGCGGCCGCCCAGGCCGCCTCCCCGGCCCAAGCCTCCGCGCCCGCCGAGCCCCAGGCCGCCGCCCAGGGCCGCCCAGCGCGGCCTGTTGGAGGCGCCGCGGGGCGAGGAGCAGGCTGCGCTGCACCAGCAGCAGGGCCAGCGGCAGCAGCAGCGGCAGCAGGAGCAGCAGCAGGGCCAGCCGCAGGCCTGCCGCTCTACCTTCTTCTCTTTGCCCAAGTGAGCGGCGCCTGCTCGCTGTTCTGCTTTTTTTTTTTTTACAGCCTGCATGCAAAACAGACCAGCAGCGGTGCCAACCCCCCCTGCCTGCCCGCTTCTGCCTGACCTGGTGGTACCTAGCCCTCCAGCCTGCAAGCTGCTGCTCTTGCCGTGCCGCACCTCCCTCCCTGGATGCTGCACGCACCGGCCGCCTGCCTGCCGCAGCCCTCCACGCCGCTCGCCAGCCGCCCGTCTTGACGTGCCGCCGCTGCCACCCCCGCTCGCACCCCGCGCCGCAGGCTGGCCGTGGGCGGCGCCACTCACCTGGCTGCTTATTCCGACGCCTCCCCCGCTGCCAACCGCGCCTTCGCGGCCGCTTACTGCCGGCAGCGCGGCACCTCCTTTGTCGCCGCCGGCGCCGTGCGCCGCGGCGTGCTGCCGCAGGCGGCGGCCGCTGCTGCAGGCGCGGCAGCCCTCACAACCTACTGCCCCGCCACCAAGGCCACCTGCGCGGGCGCCGCCTGCCCCCTCATCGCCGTGGTCGAGTGCGTGCCTGCTGGGGCGGCCCCCTGCCAAGCAGACGAGGCTGGCAACGTCGGGTGAGCGGCTGGGGCGTGCTGGAGGCGCGTGCCCGCTGTTGCCGCCGCCGTGCCGAGTTGCGAGAGTGGGCATGCGCGGCTGCTCGTGCCGCTGCCGCTGCCAGGCTTGCGGCATGCAGCTGCTCAAAAAGGCCCTGCTGCCCACCGGCCCCTGTGCATCCCCTTCCTTGCAGGCTGGGCAACCAGGGCTCCAACAATGTGGGCCACTTCAACACTGGTGAGCCTCCTCAGGCAGCGCTCGAATGGGCCTGGCTGGTGCTGCTGCCGCGGGGGATCGCAGCGCAGGGGGGATACCACTGCTGCAAGTGCAGGCCACGCAGTATACGTTGACGGCGGCATGGCAGAGCAACCTGCACCCTCCCCGGCCGTCTGCTGACCTGCTTCCCTGGGCGCCTGCTCGCCCCTTGCTGCTGTGCCTGCAGGCGACTCAAACTTGGGCAGCCGCAATGTGGGCAGCTCCAACATCGGGGACATGAATATAGGTAGGGGGCATGAGCACACAGCAGTTTTCCGTGCAGCAAGGCACCTGTGGCGTCTTCATGCTCTGGGATGTCTGCTTTGGGGCACAGCGTCGGCTGGCTGGCAGGCATTGCCCCTGCTGAGACACGCCCTGCGCCTGCTGTGCTGGCGGCGGTGCTGTGTTTCACGGGGGTATGCCTGCGGGCTGCTTCTGTCTGCCTACTGACCTGCCGCCTGCCGCCCTGCCACCCGCGCCCCTGGCACAGCCGACGGCTGCGTGGGCAGCTACAACACAGAGCACGGCGGGCTGGGGACCGCAGGCAGCGGATCGCTAGCTGCCGTTAGCATTCAGGAGGCGTGAGTGGCGCCGTGAACGGCTGCGCCCATGCCCCCCTTCCTATCTGTCACTTGTGCTCCCTACTGTCACCCTTTGCGTACCACCTTACCACCAGCTTTCCTCACGTAGATACTCTTTCCTCCTTTCCGATGCCTTTCCCTCGCCGGATGGATCCATCTTTTGTGCCGCCTCCGCCCTGCCATGCTTGCGCTGGGCTGGCGTGTTGGGCAGCTGGCGCAATGCAATGCTCCGCGCGTGTCGCTGCCGGGAGCGCGGCGCCCTTCCCCTGCACCCCGGGCCCTCTTTTCTCTCCCTCGGATGGATGTCTTGCCTGCCCATCATTGCACCTTGCCCGCATCAGGCACTCTCAACACGTGTTGTCTCTTTTGCACCCAGCGGGCGTGCCATCTTCCCCCTACAACCTCACGTGTTGCCGAGCAGCACTTGCGCCGCTGCCTTGACTCCTCCCTTGTATTGATTGTGCCTGGCACTCTCCCCGATGGTGTGCCGCCAAGTGGCCGAATGAGAGCATTTGCTGTTGTGACGCCAATCCCCTCTCCTTTACCCCTTGCACGGTACCTGCCTTTCTCTCCCGTCGCTGATACCAGCTGGCGACCAGCACATGGGTCCCACCGCCCCTTTGGTGGATTCTGCGCTCATGTGAAATCACACAGCAAGCCAACAAGGGGGAGGGCTCAAATGCTGTGGCGGGGGTGGGGCGGTGTACATCGGCGGCGGTACATGGGACACTTGCCTCTTTGAACCGCTTGCAGCCCATCCCCGCACACGTTTCGTTTAGGACGTATCCCGAGCATCCAAACCTGGGACCCCCCGTTGTGCTCGGGTACCGGGGCTGCGGCTGTTGTCCTGAACTCTGAGGGCATTCCCGCTGCCTGCGTTGCTAGTGGTGAGCTAACGTGGCATGTATGCATGAGCACGCACCATACCCCCTGCCGCTCCACCGCCACCGCCCGCCGCCTCCGCCGCCTATTGCAGGCGCTCCACGAGCCGCGCCGGGCATGGTCCTGTCGGCCGGGGCTATCGCGGGGATAGTCGTGGGATGCGTGGCATTGTTTGCGCTCGTGGTGGTGGTCGGTGAGCGGAGCTGCATCTGCAGTACACTTAGCCATGGACACCATGCAACACGGCTCCCATGCCCAGCCCGCAGCTCTGCACACATCTCTGCAGCCTGTTGGTTCACATTCGACTTGTGTTGCCATGCGCTGCCCCCTTGCCATCGCCCTGCAGCAATGTGGCACTCGTCAGCGGAGCGTAAGCGGCAGGAGCGGGCTGAGCGGGAGGGAGAGCGCGGCGGCGGCGGCGGCGGCGGCAGCGGCGGCCTGCAGCCGGCGCCCAGCGGCAAGGGCGACCGCTTCCTGTCCAACCTGGTGCCCTCATTCATCAAGAGAGAAGGATGAGGGCCAGACGGCCCTGGCTATTTCTCATTCTCCCCTTCTCCCCGCTTGTTCGGCAGTGGCATAATCTCATATCCCTGCCGGTGTTGTCCTGCTGCTCCTGTTCTGGTGTGCTTTCCTTGTGCCTGCCCCTGCCCTGGTCCACCCCTGCCCTTTTCACTGCTCTTTTTGGCCCCAGGCCCCCTGGGCAGGCCTTACACACCATACATTGTGACCCTCGACTGACCTCTCACTATGCACACCCGCCCCCTCGCGCAGACACAGCGCAAATGGATGGGGGTGGGTGGGATGGAATGCAATGGACGGGACTCAGCTCAGCAGCACAGCTCGTGATGAGCTGACCAGCTCCGCTGTGCCCGCCAGCTCAGCTGCACCATTCTTTTGCGGGTGGGCCGTTCGCCGGCCGAGATGCAGCCAGCCCTCCGCGCCACAGCTGGCGCCTCTGCCGCCTCTGCCGCCTCTGCCGACGCCGACGAGGCCGCCGCGGCGCCGCCCTGGCCGCTCACCGCACCTGGGCGTCGGCGGCGTCGGCCACGAGGGGCAGGCGGGCGGTCTGGCCCACCAGGCAGGACCCCACGCCGTAGGCGACGCAGGCAAAGAGGAAGAGGAAGATGGAGTTGTAGGTTGTGATGTAGAGCTGCAGGCCGGGGCCGCCCATGGGCGGGCGGAAGATGGATTCCAGCAGGCCCGGCAGGCTGCAGGGGGAGGGACGGAGGTGTCGTTTCAGCAGCCCGCAGGATGGGTGCGGGGAGCAAGGGAGGGGCAGGCGGGAAGGGAGGTAGGGGGGTGGCCCGCGCGGGCCAGGGAGGCGGCACAGGGGCGGGCACGGGCGTGGGAGCGAGAGGGCAGGCTCGGGATGCACGCGTGCTGGGCCCGGGAGGGCAACGGCTTCCGGGCGGCTTCCGGGCGGCTGTCGCGGCGCTCACATGAGGATGATGTCCAGCAGGATTGCCTGCATGGCGTTGAAGCGCACGTACCGCGAGAAGCGCGGGTTGTTGATGATGCCCTGCAGGTGGGACAGCGGGGGGTGAAGGCGGGGAGACAGCGGGTGAGGCTGGCGGGAGGGCAGGCAACGACAGGCAAGGCTGGGAGGCCGGGGCAGGCAGCTGCGAGGGCGCCGTCGCAGCGCGGCGCAGGCGGGGCGTGCGGTGGCGAGGGCCTGCGCGCACAGCACAGTCCACACCCACGCGACCCAACCACCTCCACTGCCGCCCCCCCAGGAAACAACATCACATCACATCAGGAAACAACATCACACCATTCTGCCCGCTCGCCCCGCCCCACCCCACCCCGCTGAACGCAGCGCATGCAGCCCCACAGCCGCGCACTCCACCCACCAGGTAGACACCGAAGAAGACGATGAGGCTTGCCAGGGGGAAGGAGTAGTAGAGGCGGATGATGGGGTCCAGGGGCAGCAGGATGGTGCCAAAGCTGGGGAACTGCGGGGAGAGGGAAGGAGGAGGGAGGTGGAAGTGGGGAGGGGGGGAGGCAGGTTGGTGCACACGCTGGGGGACTGTGGGGACGGAGACGAGCAGAGCAGAGCAGAGCAGAGCAGAGCAGAGCAGCTTGAGGGGCGGGACGGGTTGCGGAATGGCGGGAAGGCAGGCGGGGCGATGGGAGGCGGCGCTGGGCCCGAGAGTAGCCAGGCATGTCGCCTGGCACCGGGCAGACTGCTCCAGCAGCGACAGCCAGCTTGCCTGCACCAGGAAGAACTTGCCTGCGGTGGCAGGAGGAGGCGGGGCAGCAGAGAGGTGGCGGCGTGAGCGGGCCCCGCGCACTTCAGAATGGTGCACCCGCACCGCCCGGCACTACGGCGCACTTGACAGGCTGCCCGGCAGCCTGCCCGCCCGGCAGACAGGCTAGTCCGACCAAATTTACCGTATCTCAAGCCATCTAGCAATGGTATCTTTTTTTTTGTTAGGGGAGTTGGTGGTGGGGTGGTGGTGGGTGGTGGCG